TAAACATAAATCATAGTATCTTTGAAAAATTTCAATGAATCTTATTGAAAATTAATATACATACGTATTTAGGTCCATAGAAGACGACAACATAATCAAAAATATTAAAATCATCAATTGTTTATTTATTAATTGTAAATGAAGACTTGTCAATAATAATGTTTACTTACCTTTGTCGACATAAAGTGTGTGGGGAACTTCAGAGTTGAAGAAACTTCCAGTGAGACATTTGTTTATCATAATGTAAGGAAGTTTTTTATAAAATTGAAAAACAATTTATCAACAACTTTAGAAAATATAGAACGTTTAAGAAAACATGCGCGACGCGCTAGCGAGTCTCCGCGCGGAGAATTGCACACAAGAGTTAAGAAGGACGTTATGTTATGTTGTGATATATTATGTTTTGAAAATGGAGCCAACATACTATCACTGTTGATATGTAACAATACACTAATTTCTTAAAAACATGAAGAAACAGAAAATAAAGATATACCTTAATATTAATTATTAAAAAACTTATTTGCAAACTGCACAAACAGTACATACAAGCACCAAAATATTTTAAAACTATTGATTATTTAGTAAATATTAAAAAAACAGTTGTTAAAATTTAATTTGCATTTTCATAAAACTAACACATATTTTATTTGAAAAACATTTCTAAGAATGTAGTGACAATATTTGTTTCTGTATACAGTTGTTGATAAATTGTTTTTCAATTTTACAAAAAACTTCCTTACATTATGATAAACAAATGTCTCACTGGAAGTTTCTTCAACTCTGAAGTTCCCCACACACTTTATGTCGACAAAGGTAAGTAAACATTATTATTGACAAGTCTTCATTTACAATTAATAAATAAACAATTGATGATTTTAATATTTTTGATTATGTTGTCGTCTTCTATGGACCTAAATACGTATGTATATTAATTTTCAATAAGATTCATTGAAATTTTTCAAAGATACTATGATTTATGTTTAAAAATTGAATGAAATTTGTGAAATAAAATTTTTAAGTGTTTTGCATATATTAACTCTATTTTTTGATCTACAAAAAAAACTCAAAGGAAAAAAAGATGCGCCATCTTATGTCCTACAAGATTGCACTTTTCAAAAATCAAAATTTTGATTTTTCATTTTTTTCACGTTTTTGAACGTTTGACTGGCGTTAGAGCGATCGGCCAAGCGCTCGGCGAGTTATTGCAGGCAGCTACTCAATTGAGTGTTGTAAAATTTTTATTTTAGATTATTGGGATCTGAAATACTGCGATACGCCATCTGGTGAGAGCCTTGTTGTGGTGGCCACGTTTTCATTCCGTGTTTCTCTAACATACGCTAAAGAAAGAGATATTAAACCAAGATGGTTGTCACAAGAAGGCTCAGGAGTGGGTCAGTTTCGCGTGATTTCTGATCCCAATACAAAATTTAATGTGCAGGATAAAAAAATAAAACAAAAAATTGAAATTGATAATATATGAATTTCCTTTATTGAATAATTTAGTTTACTAAATAATATCTATCATTGCATAATAATGAAGTGTGTAATAATAAGTGTATCATTTTCTAACCTCATTAATTAGAAAAGGGTGCACCTATGCTCAGAGCGCTAACAGTATGAACCTCAAAAACACCCATTATTGCCTTCATTTAATAAAAATTTTTGTTTTTAAATTATGTAATTATGTAATTTTTAATAAAAAAAATTAATAGAATGGAATTTGCAAAAGAAAACACATAACGGTGCTCCCCGATGATAAAATGTTTATAGGTGATTCTGAAAAAAACTCATTTTGCATGTAATCAAGATTTTCCAAATAATACATTCTAAATAATTGTTTGAAAATATGAATAAAATATGTCTTCTCAATTTTTTAAATGTTGAAAATTAATTTTGTCATCTATAGTATCACGTCATTCCTCTCTCCCGTTGAATATTATCTAATAATTTCTCTGTGAATGCAGATATTGCCTACTTTTTGTGATAAATATTTTAATTAACATCTCTATTGTTGATTTTATTAGACAATATTAATAGATGTAAATTGATCGCAATTTAAATTGGAGGAAAATTATTTTTCAATTAAATAAAATTAAAAAATGTTGAAATCGTCATTCTTTTATTTAAGTTATTAAATTATATTGTACAATTGTTTAATTAATAAAGTATATATATTGGAAAAAAATTAAATTAACCTTTTATAGAATTCCACTTGAATTGACATATATTACATAATTTTCTAAATTGATATTATATTGCACTGCAGTTTGAATAAACATATTATTATCGGGGGCGTCGACAAGTTTTTTTTAATATGTTATAAAAAAGTATAATAATTTAATTATTATTTACCTCATTATTCTTGAAAAATCTAATAATTATTTAAGTAGATATAGAAAGCAAATATTAATTATAATAACACATAGCCAACAATGTATGTTGTTAAAAATATTAATATATGTATATATATATATATGTGTGTGTGTGTGTGTACAGTAAGATTACGCTGCTATATGCATCATAGGGAAGCGTGAGTGCGAGTGAGACGTTAATAGAACAACGCATAAGAGCGTCCTTGTCGCACCCGTATGCTGATTCATATTAGCGTGATCATACTGTATATGTATGTTCATTATATGTATTTTTGCATAAGTTGTAAGTATTTTTAATTTTATTTTTATTTCATCAATGACGAACGTAAATGGACAATTAAATAAACGAAAGCGGTACAAACAGTATTTAGAGCCAAATTATAATCCAAATGAAGTCACAAACGCATCTTAGATGGAGTCAAAGATCACTAAATACATCTTTTTCTGGTCTTTTTTATGGTATTTAATTTTATAATCTGACTAGTATTAAATATATAGATTAGGGGGCGTCCATTAATTATGTGAGGTCAAAATGGGGAGGGGTCTGGCCAAGTCTCACCATATCTCACTGAGGGGAAGGGGGGGTCAATAAAAATCTCACGTCAACTTGTAATTTTCAGCAATACATATTTTATACTCATCCCTGTTGGAATACGTCAGTGTTGGGTAAGTTACTATTTCTAAAAACTCGTTACAGTTAAGTTTCTACCCAACACTGGAATAAATGGTAGTTTTGGCGTTTTCTGTCTCATTGGTAAAAATAAACACGCTTATATGAAATGCTTTAATGTAAAAAAATATCAGTAAAAGATTAAAAAAAAATTTTAACTGTTAAATTAATTGTTTTTGATCACGTAACACAAAAACAATCAATTCAACAGTTAAAATGTTTTTTATTTTTTTATTGATATTTTTCTTATATTAAAGCATTTCATATAAGCGCGCTTATTTTTACCAATGAGAAAGTAAACGTGGCGCAAGCGCACTTGCGCTTGGTAAGGGTCATTGGCAACTCTGCTTAAGGTTAGGTTCGACCACTGTACTGTAAACAACTGTAAAGTTGATGCGCTTATCATATTAATTAATATCATTAAAATATAATGTAATTTAAATACCTTCATTTTTCCCTCGTATTTTAATGAAAAATAAAAAATATTACCTGAGGGATGGGGGGGGGGTGAAGCTAAATCTCACCAACGGGGAGGGAGGGGTCCAGATTTAAAAAAAAACGCCTCACGTAATTAATGGACGTCCCCTAATGTACACTGAAAAAAATACTACTTAGAATATCCATAATTTTGGTTATTATAACTAAAATTCAACCCTGGCGGAATAAAATCACTCAACGTCCACTTTGTAAAGTAGACATTGAGTGAACATTGGGTAGAAACTTGGTAATTCGCAAAAATAAATGTTAAAATGACAAAATATGAAAAAATTTGAGCTGCAAAAAGTAAATAAATATCCAGAGAATCCAGAGAATTATTTTTTTTCTCACGCGTTGAAAACGGCGCATGGGCATTCTATTCTGAGCCCATGCAACAGGTATGTTTCGTTTTTTGTACCTGGTAGCAAAATAACAGTTGTCTCTTCCGTTATCATCTGCATCTCTTTCATGAACCATCCACGAGCATTTCCTGGAGTATGGCCCTTTACACCAACCAGTCATGCCGAGGATTTACTGTCTCACTTCGGGGGAATATCTCGAGAGTTCCTTCCGGTGCGACTTCGTTCATTGAGATAATGACAGGATGGAATTCGCCCTTATCATCTATAATAGCATTAACTTCTGAAGGAACTTCGCAGCATATTGGTTTATATTATTTTTTTTATGAGTATTCTCGTATACTTATTGTTATAAATATTTCTTTTTTCTTAATTTTTGAAAATTGTTGGCGTTTCTTGCGCTAGTAGGTGATGTTGAATTTGAATAATTTTATTTAACTTAAAAAAAGAAAGAAGGAAAGTGTTTTTGTAAATAATTATTAAAGTTAAAATTTTTTTTCTCTCTTTTTCTCAATACTTAATATTTTGCGTTCAATTTTACGCGATTTTTTTACAGTATATTTGTTAAAAGTTACTTTTTCAACATTTTTAGAATTTAAAAAAAAAATTAAAAATTCTTCATTTAATTGAATTTAATTTCTTTTAAAATTCGTTTATTTTTGTTTAATATAATTCAGAAAATCTTATCAAATGTTTACGGTCCTATTAGGACAATTTATCCTATATTGTTGTTTACTATTTAAAAATATCGAATTTATTTCATCGTCAAGTGAATTTACATTTAAAATTTGTCAATATGAGAATAACATTACACACTCCGTATATCGTTGATAATATTGTTTGTATTGCGATGTTTATTTTGTTGGTGCGATTAATTTTGACATTTTCTTTTTCAATTGAGGCATTTTGCGATAAATTATTACATTAACATTTTTTTTTTGAAATTTGGGGGGGAACGAGAAATGCTGTTTGATTTTGATGTTGATTGGTGATAAATCTTTCGAGTGTGGATATTCGAGTATTTTTTTTATAAAGTCTTTTATTATTTAATTGTTTTATGAATTTATTTTCAAATTTTGAAAATTTAAATCAATTTTTATTTTAAAAAATTTTTCTTTGAAAATGGCCGATCGAGGTTTTGTTTTTATTCCGGTTAATGATCCACTCCGACCGGGGGGTCCTGATCGTGCGCAGTTGCCTAATAATTTTAAAGGTCGTTTTGGTGATTCATCACATCCTGGTGCGGTTGCTGAGGGTCAACGAAATTTTACAGGCCGCATTCTGCGTTTACCTGAATTTATTCGATCAGATCCGTCACTATGGTTCGCGCAGGTTGAATTGATCTTCGAATCTGCAGGAATTTTTTTTCAGAGATCTAAAGCCGGTGCAGTGGTAACCGCTCTTGACTATGAGGTAGTTCAAACATTTGGGGATTTATTGACAAATAATAATTTTGTAGAAAACCTTTATTCCGCAATTAAAAAGAGGGTCATTGAAAATTTTTCGATTTCACCTGAGGCTAAGTTGAGGTCTATACTGAAGGGGGAAGTCATTGGAGAGGGAAAACGATCTTTGATTTTGAGTAGGATCCGACATCTTGGTCGCGGTAGATGTAACGATAAGGTCTTGAAGGCAATTTTTCTCGAACATCTTCCTGCTAATTGTCGTACGATTTTGGCTATTTCAGATACTAACGATCTTTCTCGTTTAGCTTCCATGGCAGATCGAATGGTTTCGTATAATTCCCCCGAAGCAAACGTAGCTGCAATTTCTGCTGATAAAGGAATCTTAACCGAATTGGAAGAGTTGACATCGAGAATCGATGCATTATCAACTCGATCCCGCAACCCTCATCGATATGAAAGAAGAGAACGTTCTAAATCTCGTTCAAGATTTAAGCAAAGTAATGATAGGTCGCGTGATCGTGATTCAGGGGATCAAGGTCTTTGTCGTTTGCATCGCAGATATGAGAAGAATGCTCATCGTTGTTATAAACCATGTTCTTTTAAAGAAAATTCCAAATCAAAACAATCTCATTCTGATGACTCGAATTCGGGAAACTAATTTCGCCATCCCGTGTTGAGGCTTCCGGGGGAGTGGCAAATTCAAAACGCCTTTTTCTTAGAGATTGTGAGTCTGGACTCAATTTCCTTGTCGATACAGGTTCAGATATTTCGCTGATTCCCTTTGAAGCCAATGCTAAACTACGACCAGCTGATTTCGTTATTTATGCTGCTAATAATACGCAAATAAATACGTATGGCGAACGTCGTCTTAGTCTTGGTCTTGGCCTTTGACGATCCATTTGTTGGAATTTTTGCATCGCGGATGTACCATATCCAATCATTGGGGCTGACCTTCTCTCTACTTTTAGATTGAATGTTGATCTTCGTCGCCGAAGAATTGTCGATTCTTTAACAGAATGTCAGTCTTTCGGAAATGTTCGAAATATCCTTTTCTCTGGCGTTAGTTCCATTAACAAAACTTCTCCCTATTCGAGTATTTTAACTGAATTTCCTGCAATTACTGGACTTAATCAATCTTCAAAAATTTTATCCAATGAAGTGTTGCACCATATCTTGACAACCGGTCCTCCGGTCGCCGAAAGAGCTCGTCGGTTGGCCCATGATAAGGAGGTAGTAGCAAAATCCTGGTTTCAAAAAATGGAAGAATCTGGTCGTTGTCGTCCGTCCAGCGCAGAATGGGCTTCACTCCTCCATATGACTCGTAAAAAAACGGAGAATGGAGATGCTGCGGCGACTATCGTAGAGTGAACGCTCACACAATTCCAGACAAATATCCTGTTCCGTATTTGCAGGATATTACCGACATTTTAAATAAAAAAACAATTTTTTCTAAATTAGATTTGTTTATGGCTTATAACCAAATCCCCATTGCTGAAGAAGACATTCCTAAAACGGCGGTGATTACACCTTTTGGACTGTGTGAATTCACGGTTATGAATTTTGGATTAAGGAATGCAGGTGAAACATTCCAGCGTTTTTTGAACAAAATTTTCTTGGATCTCGACTACGTTTTTGTCTACATTGACGACATTTTAATTGCTTCTTCTAGCCCTGAAGAACATGAGAAGCATTTGAGAGAGGTTCTTGGCGCCTCGCTAATGCTTCCATTCGGTTAAATGTAGCTAAGTGTCAGTTTGGTCTCAATGAGATAGAATTTTTGGGTTATAACGTTGATCGAAATGGTATTAGACCAACTCTCGAGAACGTTAAAGCGATCAGCGAATTTCCAAAACCAAAGACAATTTTGGAATTGAGACGATTTTTGGGCCTTTTAAACTTTTATAGACGCCGAGAAATCGAATGGACACCTTTGACAATCGAGGCTTTTGAAAAATGCCGCTCGAGTATTGTCAATGCAGTTCTCCTTATTCATCCTGATTGTGAGGCCCCTACTCGTGTAATTTCCGACGCTTCTGATTATGGTATGGGACCTGCCCTGGAGCAATTTCGAGAGGGTTCCTGGTATCCTTTGGCATTCTTTTCTCGAAGTTTCAATTCTGCTCAAAAAAAGTATAGCACATATGATAGAGAGTTGACGGCCGCTTATGAAGCTGTGAAATACTTCAAACATTTTTTGGAATTTAGAGATTTTCACATTGCTACGGACCATAAACCTCTTATCTACGCTTTCAATCAAAAATCTGGCAAGGCTTCTCCTCGTCAAGTTCGACAACTCTCGTTCATTTCTCAATATACAACGATTTTTAAATACTTACCTGGTGATGAAAATGTCGTTGCTGACAGTCTCTCTCGCGTTGATGTTATTCGTTTAGCTTCCGATGTCAGTTTTGTTGAACTTTCCATCGCTCAAAAAGACGACGTTGAAGTACAAAATCTTTTGAAAAACGGGACAACTTCTCTCAACCTTAGTCGCATGCTCTGGGGTACTGATCACACCGCAGTAGTTTGTGACGTGTCGGGTGAGATTATACGTCCGTACATTCCGTTATCTTTACGTCAGCGTATTTTCGAGATTTTTCATAACACCGCTCATCCCAGTGGTAAAGTTACTGATAAGGTTATTCGTAAGAGTTATGTTTGGTTGGGAATGAACAAGGACATCAAGGAGTGGTGCAGAAATTGTATCGAATGTCAAAAATCAAAAGTGTCACGTCACACTATTTTGCAACCTTCGCATTTCGTAGCTCCCTATGGGCGATTTTGCCATGTACATATGGATATTGTTGGTCCCTTAACTATTTGTGATGGATACAGATATTGTTTAACCCTTATCGACCGATTTTCTAGATGGCCGGAGGCCATTCCTCTCAAGAACGTTGAAGCATCAACAGTATATCGCGCTTTTGTTGATGGCTGGATATCGCGTTATGGCACTCCTGAAACTTTAACAACTGATCAGGGTAGTCAGTTCGAATCACAGATTTTTTCTTCATTGATGAAGTTGTCCGGTTGTCACCGTATTCGAACAACAGCTTACCATCCTGCCGCCAATGGTATGATTGAAAGTTGGCATCGTACATTGAAGGCAGCGATTCGATGTCATTCAGGACAGCAATGGATTCATGATTTGTCAACTGTCCTTCTCGGGCTTAGATTGAATGTCCCTGATTCGGGCTCGTCTCCAGCTGAGTATCTTTACGGAACGACCCTGAAAATTCCCGGTGAATTTATTCTTTCCGAGGAATTTACCCCTGATCCACAAATTTTTCTAGAGGAATTTCGTGAGCATATGCGTGCGGTCAAACCCATCCCGGTCGAGCACAAGCATAAAAGAAGAGTTTTCTTTCATAAAAGTCTTTATTCTTGTTCTCATGTCTTTTTAAAAATTGGAACCATGAAGAAGTCTCTCGAATGCCCATACTCTGGTCCCCATAAAGTCCTGAATCACATTTCTGACCGTGTTTTCGAGATTGATGTGAATGGAAAAAAACGCCAAGTTTCTGTAGAAAATATAAAACCGGCATTTTTCGCTTCTCCCAATCTTCAGTCAGTTAATAACGAAGTTGTAGGTAGCTCGAATAGCTCTCGTCGTGTGACTCAAGTCCCGACTGTAGAAAATAATATGAGTCAGTTTCAAGTATTGAAACCAGTGAGAACTTATGTAAATAAGAAAAAGGTAACGTTTAACTTATCTCAAAACAGTATTCATACTAAAACAAAAATTAGTAATAATTAATTTAGTGAGATGGCCATCTCAAGTTATAAAGAATATAAGTTTGTATTATAATATAAATGTTTGACGCATTTTTTTTAACTAAAAAATTCTTTTTATATGTAAGTTAGATATACATAAATCTTATTATTATTTTTTTTCTCATATAAGTTTTATTATTTGAAGTAAAATCGACGATTGTATTAAATTATGACTGCGATATTAATGAAACCTGACTGCGATATTTTTTTTTGTTGTTGTATATAACGTATTTTAATTATATGTTTTTTTTATATGTCTTGTATCGTTAGACACTCGGGGGGGAGTATGTGGGGAATATATGTTCTGTTCCTCGATTACCCTCTCTCTCTCCTGAGGCGCGCAGACTCGGCATCGCGGGCCGCACGACGCAGAATATAGATACTAGCAGATAGACTTGAGTCTTGATATAGAACACAGCTGTGTGCTCGTCCTTGCCCTTATGGCTATATTTTATATATTTTATATATTTTATATATTTTGAATATTTTATATATTTTATATATTTTATATATTTTATATATTTTATATATTTTATATATTTTATATATTTTATATATTTTATATATTTTATATATTTTATATATTTTATATATTTATATAAGTTTAATAAAGTGGTTATTTTTAATATAAATATGGAGTCAGTTAATAAGCACGCAAGTGGGTGTATTGATTTACTATAAATAAATCTTTCTTTTAACCAACATCCCACATGAATATGCTTCTGCTGGAATATAGATTTTGAATTGAATATGACATGATGATCGTTATTTTAAGTTGATGCCAGGACGCGACTATATATTATAAATGGCGTAAAATTCCTGTAGCGAACTAAGTGAAAAAAAAGTTGATCGGATCGGGCTGTAATTTGCACATAGTTTAGCCCTTGGAATGAGTAATTTAACCACGCATTCATGCATAACTATAACTTTACTTACCGTGAAAGGGAAATTTTTATTATCACATGTGGTCGGTAATTCAGTTTCTATAGTATTTCACAACACTATTGAAATTAAATATAATTTTTATTATTATTAATTAATTAACCTCAAAAATACATCAATTTGATGAATTTAACAATTTTTTTAAATTATGTGTAAAGTTATACGCCATTTTACATTAATTTATTGAAAATATTTTTAAAAAAACCAAAGGAATGTAAGCATGACAAGTTACTTTGCACAATTTATATTAATTTTTTAATATTTAATGTTTTATTTAACGCAATTATTACTAGAATTGAGTCTCTGAATATTTATTTACCTTTTGCAACTCAAATTTTTTCATATTTTGTCATTTTAACATTTATTTTTGCAAATTACCAAGTTTCTACCCAATGTCCACTCAATGTCTACTTTACAAAGAGGTCGTTGAGTGATTTTATTCCGCTAGGGTAGTAAGGGTATATTTAACATTATAATTATGGTTATATTATCCAAAAATCTAGTTAACTTAACCAGAAAGTAATGTTAAATATAATAAAACTCAGTTTAATTTTTTTAATAATTATTTCACAGTAAATGAAAAGTTTGAAAACGTTTACACCTCAAATTAATTTTTATTTTTTATGAAGAAAAGGCCACCACATATTTAATAGTTTATAATTAAAGTAATAAATCAATAAATGTTGATTATAAACTGAATAATAGTATATTCTTTGTCAAATAGGCGTTCCGTCATTCACGTCAAATGAAAGTAATCAAATGGATGTCATCACTCCAAAAGAATGTCTTAGTACTCTATTAGATAATGAAGCAGCTGTATTTAGTACTCTAAAAGATTGTATTTTAATAAAGGAACAACATAAGATGTTACGGACGGATTTCCGTAAATTTTTAATTTTTTTTTGTTAAATATTATTTATTAAAAATAATATTTGTTTAATT